CTCGAGTTTTTGGGTCTTATTTTAAGTCTGTTGTTAAAAATAATCTTTATGGAAAAACTTTTAATAATAATTTTATAGCTCATGTATGTTAATTATGATTTTCCGTATTAAGCAAGACAAAGACCTTTCAAGTTACAATAGGTTACTCCTTTCCAATTTCTATGGCGCGCCTAATGGCATTACAAAACCAAGTTATGTACACGTATTTTTTGTCAAGCAAAAAAATACGGACAACAAAGAACCATTGATTTTTTTAAGGCTGTCCTCCAACAACTATCTCTAAGACAAAAAAAAGTAAAACATCAATCCCACTCTTTATTTTTCAGTAATTAATCGATTTAATTAGTTGTATTTAATTTAGTTGTAAGGTGACGGCCTACCTTCACTACTACTAACAATAATTCTTCCATAAGCTAATTACCCCGTTAAAATAAAACTTTTGGAGATTAGCTTCTCTCTCCGATCACATAAGCTTGTGTCTTTTCGTCCTATTTTCTTCAGAATACAACACATAAGTCAGTGGCCTTTATCCTCTCGATCCTACAAATAATCTTGTAAACTTCAATAAGGTTACCTCATCTTATTTTCTCAAGAGAAAATATGGTAAGAGATCTTATCCTATCCTCTTAAGATAACCCATCTATCCTCGGGTCCACTCTAGTAGCCATTCTCTGGACTCTTTCTAATAAGTCAACATCCTATCTTAGGTAAAAAGACAAAACCTGTACCCAGTGTTCTAAGTGAGACCCCATGATCTTTTGACTTGTAATGAATACATCTTTAAATGCACTCTAAAAGTCCATTAGCTTTACTACCAGCAACAGATCATTGTCTCGATGGCTGAATGAGTCACCTATTACTATAGTAATATTCTTTTCTTTATTCACGCCATTGAGTGATAACCCAAGTACATTACCTTGCATTTACTATAATTAACGGTCATTTGTCAAGTATTTGTACAATTTAACAATCGATGAAAAAAAATAAAAAGCTCAAGCATTCCCACGATTGTCATTAATATCAAACCTTCACTTTGACTGGACTCAAGGGTTAAATAGACATTGAACGGACTTCCACCTTTTGAGGATTCACCTTTAGCGTTCTTAGGTCTTCTGATTGGAATATTGAATTGCATCACAAAATGAAGTTCCAAGCCTTTCAAAATCCCAATTGAATTATTGACTGGATTTCATTAGTAACAATATTTTGCATTTCCTCAACCAACCTTCCTACAATCCAATTAACAAGTGTTTTTTTTCTATAACCTCTACTGATGTGATTTTTTTTTCGCTAATCTTCTGTGTGGTACCTTATCAAAAGCTTTTGAAAAATCTAAGTTACCAAATCCACATCTTTTCCATCGTCCAAATAACAAGTAACATATTTATCTCAGCGATTTTACCAAACTTCTTTGAGTGGGTTCTCTACAATGCTTTCCCTCATTGAAGTAAGATTAACTGACTTATAATTTCCAGAGCAACTCTGATAAACCCTCTTTAAAAACAGGAGTTATATGGTAACTGTAAAGCTGACAATACACTTTCAAAAAGCGTTGCCCCATACATCTCAACATACAAAACGCGCTGAATCACGTTTAACTAGCGGATGTTAACTTTCAACATGTGACTGCCAAGGTGAAAACTGAATATTAAACATTTTTATATTTGCCACATTGTTTAAACATTGATGAATAAATTTTCAAGAACGTTTCACGTATTTTGTTGGCGCTTTAGAAGAGTAGCTCGTCACAAACTAAGAGGACAACAAACTTTTATATAAAAAGTGGATATGTTTTGTTGTTGAAAATGTAAAATTGTATGTAGTTCTTCTATTGAAAGACAAAGAAACAAAAAGCTTCATAAAAACCAAGTTCAAGGCCAATCTTCCTTAGTTACAGTCTAAATCGTTTCACGTAGCTATTTCATCATTTCAGAGTAACTAGCACTAACATATTTTCTTATAACTCCTCTATACTACTCAAGAGTACAATGACTTGGCCTCTGATTGTTGTTTGCTGAATTTCGCACAAAGCTATTTGAATGCTTTTTAAGCAGCTAATCAACACCACTCACTGCTACTTTATTGGCTACTCCAACGAGTAGTAGGATTGAACATCACATTATAATGCTCCCACGCCTGAAAGGACGAGCATGTTCGGTGACAGGATTCGATTCCGCGACCCGCAGATTGTAAGGAAGGTGCCCTAGTCATCAGGTCTTGCTAGACCCTTAGTTGTAAGATACACAGTAGGCCTTATCCAACATGGAGAATCAAACCTGGATTTAAGTGCTGTAAGTCTGCAGACTTACCACTGACTCACTTAAAGATATATATAGTGTTAGACTGTTTCAGCTATCTGTACTTTGTCCACCATGGGAAATATAACCGTCAAATCCGTAAACTTACCATTGGCCCACTGGTGGACGAATAACAAGGAACATCAAGCATGTCACCCATTTCAGCACTAGTAATGTATATGAATTATTTAGAGTTTAAACGGGATTAAAATTATTTTCAAATTAAAAGAATATAAAAATTCAAATTAAAAAATATAAAATCGACCAATCGCAGTTACCAGAGTTTTGACTACATCAAAATTTCGTAAATAACAACGTGAACTGTAATATATTTTTAGAATTGTTAAGCCATTATAGATAAACGAATAGTCTGAGAGGATCGCCTATTCTTACCTGCATTTTATGTTTTTTTTGTTGTTTTTTTTTCACATGTTCAGCGGCTGGTCGGATATGTTCTATTTTGATACACTTATCAAGAACATAGGAAACCTTGTACATGTACAAACCTTTAATGAATGAATTCGAATTAAAAAATATCGGCTAAGTTAAGAACGCCAATGCCAAAGTATAATAACGTCAAGCATTACCGTATTTTTCGGAATAGAAGACGCACCGGTGTATAAGACGCACCCTTATTTTGAAGACAAAGTTTTGGGGAAAAAAAGCTACAGTCGCATTTGAAAGATTTTTATTGAACAAAAATTTAAGTTGATACTTTAAAAATTAGTATATATTGTTCTGAACACAAAAGAGCTCAACACATCAAAATAAGAAAATACCGTAAATCAAAAAAAGGTTTACTAGTTATTTAGTTTGGTTCAAAACCTACAAAATCTCCATTGC